GGCTGTGGTGGGCCATCCACATGGAGGTGATGTTTTTGGCATGCTCCTTGGTGCTGGCAGTATGCCTGGTTTTGGGGTGTGTCTGGTCCCCAGTTCCATGCCTCACCAGGTAACCAGGTGGGCCCCAATGCGCTGGTGCCGTGTGCTTGGTTGTGGGAAGGGGGTCCAGTCCCCTTCTCCATACCTCGGGTCCCCAGGCAGGCCCCAAGGCACTGGTGTGGTGTGCCTGGCTGTGGGAGGGGGGTCTGGTTCCTGGCTCCATGCCTCAGGTCACCGGGCAGGCCCCGAGGTGCTGGCGTGGTGTGCCTGGTTGTGGGAGGGGGGTCTGCTCCCTTTCTCCATACCTCGGGTCCCCAGGCAGTCCCTGAGGTGCTGGCGCAGTGTGCCTGGTTGTGGGAGTGGGATCCAGTCCCCTTCTCCATGCCTTGGGTCCTCAGGTGGTCCCTGAGGTGCTGGCACAGTGTGCCTGGTTGTGGGAGGGGGGTCCATTCCCTGGTTCTATGCCCCTGGCCCCGGGGCAGGCCCCAAGGCGCTGGCAGTATGTCTGGATGTGGGAGTGTGGTTTGTTCCCCATCTCCAAGCCTTGTGTTCCTGGGTGGGCCCTGAGGTGCTGCTGGTGTGAGTGATTGTGGGTGGCGGTATGGTCCCTGGTGGGCCCCAAGGCACTGGTGGTGTGCCTGGGCCAGAACTAATTTTTTGTCCTTTGCTTCTAAAATGGGGGAACTTCCTGTGGGAACCAGTACTTGAGCTGTGTGGTCGAGCTAAATTGCTACTTTGCTGCTGTTTCTCTAGGGAAGGCTTTTTGTGCAACTCGGGGTTTAATGGTTGACCTTATAGGTACTTGCGGCTCTCCAGAGACCTGGTGCACCTGAGTTGTATAGAAACTCTGATCTGGATCTGAATCTTTTCATCAAACTGCACCCCATGCAATTCTGCATTCCTGACTGGTCCTGCACTGATTGGGGGGCAGGTCAGCTGTCCTTGCTGCATCCCAGTGTTCTCCTGGTGGGCCCGTCTCCCCCACCAGCCGTGCTCCAAACACTTCCCATGGGGCAGGGCCTGCGCCAGTCCTTTGCGATGACTCACTGGTCTCTGAACGGCTCCCTTTTACAGCTGTTCTGTCTCCTTGCTATTGCGTGTGTCCATGGGAACCCTGTTAGTGGTCTTGCTGTCCTGGGGGCCACCAAGGCCCTTTCTCCCCTTCCACCTCCAAGTAACTCATCTGGAGGGCACAGCTGCGGCTTCTGCCGGCTCCTGCTCCTTGAGCTCAGCAGCTCAAGCCTTAAAGCGGCCGTGGCACGAAACGATCAGAGCAGTTTTTTCTTTCTCTCATCGTGGCTTCTCCCACCTTCATGAACTCCACAGGTCTCTCCTCCCCTTCCCCTGAGCTCCAGCGGCCCCCGCTTGGCTGATGTTACATTTTTAGAGTTATAAATTCGTTGATTTGTGGGAGAGAGTGACGCTGGGGAACCGTCTATTCTATCATCTTAACCGGAAGTCCCTCCGCTTTTTTTTAAAACCTTCTCCTGCATTATTCTTCCAGAATTACTATAAAGGCATTTGGTCCAGTTATTTCTTTAAATCCTCCTGGGCATGTGAAAGGAGTTACATGCGGGTATAGACTGCCTTGAGGAGTGGTCCTGTCTTTCCAGTCTTGTCTCCCAGTGCAAGCCTGCGGCGTATTTGTTGGGGGGCCTATTTTAGGGTCTCCATTTAAGGGGTGTTTTTCTGTCCTTTTCTGTGTGTGTGGTAAAACATACATAACATAAAACTTACCGTTTTAAGTGCACAGAGCAGTGGCATTAAGCACATCCACACTGTTGTGCAGCCGTCCCCACTGTCCACCTCCAGAACTTTTCCATCTTCCCAGACTGAAGCTCTGTCCCCGTTAGACACCAGCTCCCTATTTCCCCTCCCCAGCCCCTGGTGATTCCATTCTACTGTCTCTGTGAATTTGACTATTCCAGGGACCTCACAGAAGTGGAATCGTATGGTACTTGTCCTTTTCTGACTGGCTTCTGTCACTCAGCATAATATCCTCAGGGTTCATCCACGGCGTAGCATGTGTCAGGATTTCCTTCCCTAAGGCAGAATCATACTGCTCTGTATGGACGTACTTGTCCTTTTCTGACTGGCTTCTGTCACTCAGCATAATATCCTCAGGGTTCATCCACGGTGTAGCATGTGTCAGGATTTCCTTCCCTAAGGCAGAATCATACTGCACTGTATGGACAGACCACGTTGTGTGGATCCTCTCACATGCTGATGGACAGCTGGCTTGTCCCCCTGGCTGTTGGGAACACGCTGCCGTGAACACGGCTGTGTTCTGCTCAGGGCTCTGGATCTCCTTCCAGACTCTGCATGTTTCTTATGAAGTTGATCCCAAGGTGTCCCACTCTGGTGGCTCTGGAGGATGTTTCTAAATGCACATCTTCTTGTCGAGGACTCTGAGTGTGTCCTCCTTTGGTCCAGGTCGACCTGGCTGCTCAGTACATCAAGTCTGCTGTGAAGAACGTGCCCTCGGTGTTCCTAATGACAGACTCCCAGGTGGCCGAGGAGCAGTTCCTGGTGCTGATCAATGACCTGTTGGCCTCGGGGGAGATCCCCGGGCTGTTTACAGACGATGAGGTGGAGAACATTATTTCCTCCATGCGATCGCAAGTGAAGTCCCTCGGCATGACCGACACGCGGGAAGTGTGTTGGAAATTCTTCATTGAAAAAGTGCGCAGACAGCTCAAGGTAGGGCTCCCCGTCCTGGGCAGGGTCCCAGGAGCCCAGCTCAGTGTCCTGTCACCTCCGGGGCTTGGGTCTTCACTCTGTGCAGAGCTGGGACTGTTCTTCACGAGACATGGAAACCTGTTAGGACAGTACGGGATGGGGAGGGAAGAGGTGGCCTGATGAACTGGAGACTGGAGATGGTGTCATGTGGACCGTCAGAGATATCTTGAGGCTAAAAGAAGTGTTGTATACACTCCCCCTCCCCACAAGCAGCAAGTTTAGGTCCGTACACCTTGACCTCAACATTACCTCCAGGGAAAGCAGGCTAAAGTACCCTGGTGAGACCGAGAGCACCTTGGATCCTTTGGTCCGGTCCTCTGCAGAGCTCAGCTCCTTGAGAAGGAAGGTCCCCATCCTGCAAAAGGGACCGCACGGCCTGTCTCCACAGCACCTTCTGCAGCTGGGGTCCCAGGGAGTCCCTACCCTGCCTGGAAATAAATTAGCCATGTCCTTTGGGAGCCAGCTGAGGCTCTGTGTCACCGGAGACCGCAGCCCTCCCTGTTCTCGGACATCATCCACCCCTGCGCATGCCCACTCGCCACTCCTTCCTCCAGCCGGCCTTTTTTTAGAAATAGCGGCCACTTCACGAGGGTTTGGGGTTTACCCTGTCCCCTCCCGTCGCTAGGGGGTGTCCTGAAGTCAGCTGAGCATCTAATCCGTTGTGATGCGATGACCTCCTTCATGCCCAGAGCCAGGACCGCGCCTCCCGGGCCCTCAGAGAGGAGACCCCGCAGAGTGCTCTGCTTCTAAGTGCGCTTCCTGCAGCAGGCGCAGATCTGGCCTCAGCACCGCCCTCCCTGGCTGAGTGGCTCGTCCGTGTCCCACCTCTATTCTAGGTGATTCTGTGTTTCTCCCCTGTGGGCTCCATCCTGCGTGTGCGAGCAAGAAAATTCCCTGCTGTGGTCAACTGCACGGCCATCGACTGGTTCCACGAGTGGCCAGAGGACGCCCTGGTGTCCGTCAGCGCGCGCTTTCTGGAGGAAACTGAGGGGATTCAGGTGAGTCACTGAGCTGCCTCTGCTGGCTAAAGAATTCATGCTAAAACAATCCGCAAAGAACAAAGCGTCAAAATGGTAAACAAAGTCAGGCAGCTGGTTTTTTGTCCCACGACCCTGTGATACTATGCCACAGGAACACTCGTTTCCAATCAGCTCCAGTGTGGCCAAGGCCCAGGGTGGACAGTGGATGCTGTGCAGACAGATGGGGCAATTGGGGCTTTTGGCCTAGTCCCATGGGTTGAGTTGAGTGTGTCAAGACTTTATTAACTGTGGTAAGTGTACACAGTGGCGCACTTTATTGCTTCGGGCCTCTGGCTCCAACAGGGCTCTGCCTGGGGCTGCTGCCTCGTTCACCCTTGACCTGCCCTACTTTCGAGCGTGACACGTAGTACATGCTCTGACAGCGTCTTTTCTTGTTGCCGGGAAACCGCCATTACACGCTGACCTCCCCTGACCCAGTCAGCGTGAGCAGCCCTAGGATAAGCCGCACAGAACACCACGTCTGGGTTTTAAATGCATATTCAGGGGCCGAGCCCGTGGCGCACTCGGGAGAGTGCGGCGCTGGGAGCGCAGCAGCGCTCCTGCCGCGGGTTCGGATCCTATATAGGGATGACCGGGTGTGCTCGCGGTGCTCACTGGCTGAGCGCGGTGTGGCCGGTCTCAAAAACGACAAAAAATAAATCAATCAATCAATAAATAAATGCATATTCAGGGGCCGAGCCCGTGGCGCACTCGGGAGAGTGCGGCGCTGGGAGCGCAGCAGCGCTCCTGCCGCGGGTTCGGATCCTATATAGGGATGACCGGGTGTGCTCGCGGTGCTCACTGGCTGAGCGCGGTGTGGCCGGTCTCAAAAAGGACAAAAAATAAATCAATCAATCAATAAATAAATGCATATTCAGTTATTAAGTAGGATAGAGTAAACCTGAAATTAGCGTCTTTCCTAGCTTTTAACAATGGGAAAAAGAGCCTGCTTGTCATTAGAGCGTCACTACGACATCGGCCATGCCCAGTAACCCTGCAGTTCAGACCTTTCCCTTGGGGCACAGATTTGGGTTAACAGTTCCCAAGACCTGGGCCTCCTAGGAGCAGGCAATGACCCCATCACTAGCACCAGCGAGGGCTGCCACCTACCTGCTGAAGAAGTGTGCGCTGGGTGGATTCATTTATAATTTAACCTGAATTAAAATTAATATTGCTTGGGCAATTTCTGAGGCCAAACTCCCAGTGCCCATCTCTGGGTCGATGGGCAGTCCCAGGCGGCTGGGGGAAGTGTGACTAAATCCCAGGGCCTGGCACAGGAAATCACAGTAAAGGTTGCTAAATTCCTGGGATGCAAGGACACATTCTCAGCCCTGCCCTCCCCCAGCTATGCGTGTGTGTGTGTGTGTGTGTGTGTGTGTCAGAGGATGATGATACAAAGCTCTGCTGTGTCCCCGCCCTGAGCTCAGCCCTTCAGTGGTGCGAGGTCACCTCATGCCCGTAACAGCCCCGGGAGGCATTGTTCACGAGTCTTTTTCGATGGCTGAGCAGGGCCTTGATGCATCTCGTCCGGGGTCCGGGCGAGTCCAGGAAGCCCCACCTCGCTGATCCACCGTGGCCAGCAGCAGCCCCTCGGTCCTCTCCAAGAGTAAGGCCGGGCCCCACAGGCCCCGGGTCGTGCGCATGGGCCCCAGGGTGACTTCGCCCATCTGGTCTTTGTAGCCGGAGGTTAAAGCATCCATCAGTCTCTTCATGTCGTATGTGCACACCACCGTGAACGACATGTCCAAGGTGTACCTGGCCATTGAGAGGCGCTACAACTACACCACCCCCAAGAGCTTCCTGGAGCAGATCAAGCTGTACCAGAACCTACTGGCCAAGAAGAGAATGGAGCTGGTCGCCAAAATTGAGAGGCTGGAGAACGGCCTGATGAAGCTGCAGAGCACAGCTTCCCAGGTAGGAGAGACGGGGCTCGGGCCGCGGTGACACCGCTGTCACAGGCTCCTACGGGAGAATGAGAAACGTCCCCTCTCAGACAGTGATAGTATACATGTTCTAATACTGAAAACTAGATTCCAGATGCTTCCAGATGCTCCTCTTCAGTGGCTGCTTTGCACAGGCGCCGTTCCCAGCCCTGCGCGGGTGACCTCTGTCAAGTCCAATGCGGTCAATGAAGACGCGTCCATTCTTAAGTGCCATCTGCGCCGTGCCCAGCTCAGAGAGCGTCCTCCACACTTTCTTTTGCTGTATTGATTTTTAAGTCTTCTGCCTGGCTTTAAATATCCTCCATAATGCAGTCCTGGCCTTTTTCTCTTGACTGCCTGCTCGTGGCGCCTCTCGGGGAGCCTGGTAAAGAGCTTCCTCCTCCAGGCCCGAGCTGTGAACGAGCCGGGGCCTCCTAGTGGCTTCCGAGGGGGCTTTTTGGTCCCTGCCCCAGCTTTCCCTCTCACTCTTCCACCAGCCTGAAGGGCCCTTTGCTTCCCTGACCTCCTCCACACTGTGACTCAGTTGACCTTTTTTTAACCAGTCACCTTGATTGCCACCCCCTTGAGCACCAGGAACATGTCTTATACTTGTGACCTGGTGTACACAGTCAGTGCTCAATAAATACTCACCTTTGAGATACTGAAAAGACTTCCTCGGGAGTGGTAGGCTGCCGGCCCCCCCGCCGCTGTGCTCGGCCCCTCGTGCCGTCCTGTGGGAGCCCCACTTGCCTGCATCTGGGTTCCTCTCCCAGGTTGACGACCTCAAAGCCAAGCTGGCGGTCCAGGAGGCCGAGCTCAAGCAGAAGAATGAGAACGCCGACAAGCTGATCCAGGTGGTGGGCGTGGAGACCGAGAAGGTCAGCAAAGAGAAAGCGATCGCCGACGAGGAGGAGGTCAAGGTCGAGGTCATCAACAAGGTGGGTGCGGAGCAGGAGGGTCGCTGTGCACGGCTGCGCTCGGCTGGACGCCCCGAGGGGTCAGCTGCCCCCACAGGCGCTGGGGAAGGCTGAGGCTCACGGAAGAGGGCGAGTTTCCCAAACCAGGACCCTGGAAGGAGGGCATCACGGTGCGGGCCCCTGCTCAGAAGAGGGCTTTCCTTAGAGAAATGCCCACACCTGCAGCCGAGCTCCTCAGAGGGCTGTCCCCAGGCCATGGTGGAGGCCCTGCTGGGAGCCCGGAAGACATGTAGGTTCTCAGCTCAGCTGAATAGCGCCTGCATTTTAACACACGACAGTGATCTGTGATCCGTGAGCACGTCAAGGTTTGAGAAGCTTCACTCCACTGGAGCCTGGTCCTCAGACCTGCTGCTCTGGGCTCCCCCAGAGGTTGGACGTCACTGGCCCGGGGTGGACTCCTCGCTGGTTTGGGTGTCGTCTGACTTCTCAACCCTCTCCCCACGCCTTTTGTGTCGTCAGTCCCATGTCTATATAATTTTTTTGGTGGTGGAGGGAGACGGTGGGCTGGTACAGGGCTCAAACCCTGGACCTTGGTGTTGTCAGCACCAGCTCTAACCAGCAGAGCTAACTGGCCAGCCCAGTTGTTTAAATTAGGGGTGTTCTAGCAGTTGCCTGCTGTCTCTTGAGACGGCCGACGGCAGCCCAGCAAGTTGGTTTTACTGCCTTGGACAGAGCCTCCTTCCACAGGCCGGTAGGAGGCGGGCGCCTGCGCAGTTTCCTCCTGTGCTGGGGCGTGGAGGGGCTCAGGCCAGGCAGGGCAGCCAGGAGCTCATTTTCACCTGAACAACCACAACCCTGTTAGGCAGATGGGGAAACTGAGGCTGGGGGTGGTTGTTAACTTGCCCGAGATCTCAAAACCAGCAAGTGGCATAGTCAGGATCCAGGGCAGGACGCAAGCCCTGAATCCTTGGTTTCTGTGATTCGCTGTCTGATGCTGACACGCAGCTGTTAACATCTGGGTGCCCTCATCTCTCCAACCCCTCCACCCAGAAGTGTCCCAGTCAGGGATGCTTCAGGGAGCACATCCTGGGTGCTGCCCTTGTCACAGCCGACTGATTTAGTGCCTCCCACCCCCTGGTCCCACGTTGTTCCCAAAGTAGGGTGTGAAATGGGATTCTGTGGAGGGCTTTTTGCCCTGGCTGGGGCAGAAGGCTGCCCCCATAAGGGAAGACTTGCAGAGAGAGACCCTCTCCTTCCGTCCTTTCTTCTTGGGGCCCAGCAAAGCCCTTAGCCCCTCGAGATGCTGTTCCTTGCTGATAAGATGCTGAGCTCTAGCTGGGCTCTCTGCCAGCCATCCAGAGAATGACCGTTTTACCCATAAGTGAATGAAAGAACGCACGCATGCCTGAAGGTGGTCTTCCTTCCTTAACGGGAGGATGAGCCGTCTGCTCTGAGATGTCCATTTTGGAGGGATTGATTACACAACAGTCCCAGAGACAAGAACACCTCAAAGCCAGGGGGTGGTCTGGGCGGCCCCCAAATTTCCCCTCCCGTCTTACAAGCTCGAGCCAACAGAACAGTTCCCATTCCGGAACCCCAATGCTGCAGATGCATTCTGCTTGCTGGAGGGCTGGGGGCGGCGGGCTCCAGAGGGTGACCGAGCACATGCAAAGGGGTGTCAGTGCGTGGGGTGCAGGTGGCAGATGGGGCGGATGCATGGACGGGGTGCAGCCTCCTGTGGCAGCCCACCCACCGGGGCCTGGGCTGCGGGTGAGGGGAGGGCTCACACACGCCCCATGGACAGACAAGCAGGTCTGCATCGTCCCCCTGTCTGGCTCCCTCCAGAATGTCACTGAAAAACAAAAGGCTTGTGAGACGGATCTAGCCAAAGCAGAACCGGCCCTGCTGGCCGCACAGGAAGCTCTCGACACTCTGAATAAGGTAAAGAGGGGAAGGAAAGAAAAGGGGCTCTGGCCCGAGTGCGGAGGAAACGGCCCTTGCCGTGGGTTCAAGTGGGGTCACCCTCACAGCAGCTGTCACGGAGGGCCCAGGCTAAATCCCCATCAGACGCACCCTGTTCCTTGTTTGCAGAACAACCTGACAGAGCTGAAGTCCTTCGGGTCCCCCCCGGATGCCGTGGTCAACGTCACCGCCGCCGTCATGATTCTGACCGCCCCCGGGGGCAAGATCCCCAAGGACAAGAGCTGGAAGGCTGCAAAGATCATGATGGGCAAAGTGGACACCTTCCTGGACTCCCTGAAGAAGTTCGACAAGGAGCACATTCCCGAAGCCTGCTTGAAAGCATTTAAGTGAGTTGGGGCTCGGTCATGCTGCCCAGGGTTCTCTTCCTTTCCTCATCGCGTCAAGGTGCTGCGTGGTCCGGAACCTTCTCCTGCCAGTAGCTGGCCCCTAGAAGTGTGCTTGCTAGGGGAGGGGCGGGGTCTTGGGCTGAGCAGGATGAGGTGCAACCTCAAAGACAACAGGTGACCTTCTGGGCACATCCGGCTGCACCTGAGTCATCCAGGGTGTGGAGGTGAAGCGTGGCCTCAGCTCCCGGGAACTCCGTCACCCTCTGTCTCCCCCACTTGAAGGAATCTGGGGCAGGTGGAAAGGCCTGTGGCTCAAAATCCAGGCAGCGCCTCCCTATGCAGCACCTGGGGGCCAAGCACAAGCTGACCCCAGGCTGACAAGCAGAAAACCTCAGGCCACAGGACCAGGAGACAGGCCTGTCCCTGTGAGAGCAGCTGACCATGCACACACACGCACACACACACGTGCACGCACACTCGCATGCACAAAAATGTACACACCTGTGCACACCTACACGTGAATGTGAACATGTGTGCACACACTCAAGTGTTCATTTGCCTGAGGCTCCATCGTGCATCTGTCTTTCCACTGGTCCCACTGTACAGGTCCCACATCTGGAGGGAGCCCCCCCACAGGGCAGTGACTCCCTCCGGAGTGGGGGGGAGGGTCCGTGGGAAGGGTGTCACAGAGACTTCCATGAGCTGGCATTCCCGAGGCACCCCAGTCTGTAAGCATGCCAGGCCTGTTTTCCACCCCCTGTGACTCCCTGTCCAGCCATCCCCTGGCAACCCAGCATCAGGGCCCTCTGCCCCTGTCTGGGAAAGAGGGCCACACCCTGTGACCTCAGTGACCCCAGGTGGGACCCCAGTGTCTCCCAGCTCCCACTTGTGAGGAAGAGGTTTGGACTATTGAAAAACATTTGGTAAATATAGAATAGTTTAAAGAATGAGACAAAAAAAAACAAGAAAAACACTTGTAGGTCTATTACCAGGGTGTGGGCACTATCGGCATGTATATTTCTTTTCAGTCTTTTTTCTAAGGTTTTTTTTTTTCACAGTTGAAATAATACTGTACATACATCATTATTTACTCTGCTTTTATTTTTTGCTTAACATTCTGGGAGAAAACACCTTTCCTTATGTTGTTAAGGCTCTTCATAAGCTCGACTGTTCAGCTGCTGTACAGTCTTGCTGTAGATGAATCATGTTTACTCATTTCCTCCTGCATCGTTGAATTTTTAGGCTCTTCTGTTTTGCTATTATAAGCAATGCCTTGAACATCCTCTCCTGCCACCCAGCAAACCTCCAAACTGCCAGCATCCCACACTGATGTGCGTTTGAAAGACGCCAATTCATTTTGGTATTAGCCTAAACAAAGCACAAAATAAGCCATAGGAGAAATGATGGGCTATATTCCAACCTAAATTTGAATTGCTTTTCAATTAATATTTTAAATTATCTATTCAAATTTCTTCCTGCAGACCAGTTTTGTTATATTTAATGATATTGTCAAAATCTTTTTAAAAAAATACTAGTTTCTAGAGCATATGGACTGCACCTGTGGGCATTTTTCTTGGTCACATTGACATCCCCCTAACGTATGACACCTGCAACATCATCTCTTATAAGTCTCATTCCTAAAACCTTATCACCTTAGCTCACGGTGCCCGTCTTGAAAAACCGGGCAATGCCACCTTGGGGAGGCAGGAAGGGCAGAGGGGGCATGCGGGGGGTCGTCTCCAGGGCCAGCCTGGCTCTGTGTGAATCCCAGACCTGCACCTTCAGGGCTGTGCCACCTTGGGTGAGACTCTCAGCCCCTCTGGGCCCATTTCCCCACAGTAAGATGGAGCGGGGCTCTGGTGCAGTCTCCACGAGCTCCCAGCGCAGTGCTTGGCACAGGTCGCCGACGCGACAGCGTGGTCAATCAATCCTGGTTCTACCACTTCCTGTCGCCGTTACTTTGGACAAGTCACTGACCCTCTGGACTCCAGTTCTCCTGCCTATGATGGAGTCATTGAGAGTTAAACTGAGATCAGCTACATCACATGCCAGGAACACAGAGGAGAAACGACGCTAGTTCCCTTCCCTCACCTAGAACTACTTCCACTCTCCTGCGCACCCCAAGTTCTACTTCAGAGCCCCAAATTTTGTCTTCTTTTTCTTCTTCTTTTGTAATCATTGAGATACAAAAAAACAAAAAAATCAGCCTTCTCCCCTAGTGTTGCTTGTCATCAGAGGCCAACGCAGAGCTGAGGGCGGGGAGGTGGACCCGCCAGCCTGCGTCCCAGCAGAGCCCGCGTCAGTGCCCGCTGTCCCTTCCCAGGCCCTACCAAGGCAACCCGACGTTTGATCCCGAGTTCATCCGCTCCAAGTCCACGGCGGCCGCGGGCCTGTGCTCCTGGTGCATCAACATCGTCCGCTTCTACGAGGTCTACTGTGACGTGGCCCCCAAGAGGCAGGCCCTGGAGGAGGCTAATGCAGAACTGGCAGAGGCGCAGGAGAAGCTGTCCCGGATCAAAAACAAGATCGCCGTAAGTGCCTGCTCGCCCACGTCCCTGCGAGACACCGCAGCCCCTCGCTCGCGCCGCCGGTCAATATCTCTGCTGAAAGCAGGTTGGCATGGCCTGCTGTCATGAATTATTGAGCAGCGAGAGAGACTGCAGGCAGGGGCAGGGGCCAGAGCATGCCAGGGGCTGCCCTTCACGCTTGGCGGGGCTCTCGGCCTTTATGGGAAGCCCCGCTCCAGGCTCCGAACTCCTGCTCCCGGTGGAACTGGGAATGCCTGGCCTCCCCCTTGTTTCTCCAGGAACTCAACGCCAACCTGAGCAACCTCACGTCTGCATTTGAAAAAGCGACAGCTGAGAAGATCAAGTGCCAGCAAGAGGCAGATGCCACCAACAGGGTGATCTCGCTGGCAAACAGGTAGCTGCTGCTCCCACCCCCCATCTCCCTGAGACCCCCCAGAACAGCCTTGGGAGGAAGAGGAAGGAGCCCAGGCAGAAGCAGCAGGTTGCAGCTCTCACATTTTGAGCTCGAAGTAGTTAGGATCAACCTTGGGTGAGGTCTACTGCGCATTCAGCAACCTTCACCATACATGACCTATTGCCGTGCAGAATTCTGAACAGCCCGACGCTGTCCGGGACGCCATGTCCCAGGGTCTGGCTCTGGGCAGCCCTTCATTATAACCCTCTCTCACCCACACACGGCGGGGGGCACAGGCTTCCAGGAGCACTTCACAGCCAGCAGACACTCATCTTATAGCTCCCACCATGGATTTGGGCTCTAGGGCAGCACTGTCCGCTGGGGAGAGAATGTGAGCCACGTCTGTCAGTTTAACTTTTCCAGTAGCCACATTAAAAAATAGAAAGACACAGGTGAAGGCAATTTTAATTCTGTATTTTATTTAAGCCAAATATCCAAAGTATTATCGTTTCAACAAGTAATCAACATAAAAACTATCTAAGAGGTATTTTACCGTGCCTATTTTCATCCTGAGCCCCGGAAACCCCGAGTGTATGTTATGCCCAGAGCACACCTTGGTTTGGGCCGGCAGCGTGTCCAGCGCTCAGTGGCCACGCAGGGCTCACGCCTGTGTAATGGACGGTGCAGCTCAGGGCTCTCTCTTCACATCCTCCCACGCGAGCGCCGCGAGCCTGGGCAGAGCATCAGGTGGAGTCGCTTCTCGGGCCGGCTTGTTCCTATACTCTCCCCTCCCCAGTGGGCTGGCAGCTGCTCATCGCTCAGTTGTCAGCATGACGTGAGAACCCTGGAGCAGCCCAGGCTGCAGGAGACCGGTCCCCAGCGTGGTGCAGACATCACTGCGTGGGTCTGAGGGATTTGACCTCACCTGCCAAGAAAATCAAAGTGGCCTCTAAGTCATTGGGAAGTAAGGGCTGCTCAGGTGATGCTCTGACAGACCTCGGTGGGCATCAGCAGGTCAACAAATACGGCGATGCTTTGCGCCTCATCTAGGGTCAGAGACCAGTCCTTGGGCTGATGGCCTGAGAAGCACGAAGCCCTCCCTGGAACCCCCACTCTGAGCAGAGCCAGGTGCTGTCTGGATGCCACATTGTCCTGTGGCCACTGTGGTCCCCATCCAGACCCAGCACCCGCTAGTCAAGCACATGCTCACTGGTGCCCAGGGAGCATCCCCAGCCTGTGGGCAAAACAGTCAAATAGCGTCAGCATAGACAGGACGTCAACACGGATGCCTGGGGAAAGGGAGGCACAACGTTCCCAGGCACCACCAAAAAACGTTATTTTTGTTTCCCTAAAGCATTTATTCCCCCAAATTCCCCAAAGCATTTTCATTGTTGAGCCACTGAGCCAAGTGAGGATTTGAAACTGAAGAGCACAGAAGTTTAAAGGTGGAGGGCTGGGCTTCTGGTCCACTCCTCTCACTTTACTCAAATGCATTTTATTTTCTCATGTTCCCATTTCAGGCTGGTGGGAGGATTAGCATCGGAAAATGTCCGCTGGGCTGAGTCGGTGAAGAACTTCAAAAGCCAAGGGGTCACGCTGTGTGGGGACGTGCTGCTGATCTCTGCCTTTGTCTCCTACGTGGGCTACTTCACCAAGAAATACCGAAATGAGCTGATGGAAAAATTCTGGATCCCTTATATAAATCAGTTAAAGGTAAGAAGCGCAGTCATGTTCGTGGCTCAAGAGATCCAGGGAGGTCCCTGGCAGGGCAGACCCTGCCACACTGCACCTTCGCTTCTGTGGCCATGGCCCAGTGTTGCTGGCGCTGACATCATTTCTGACCTCGTTACAAAGCTGCCCCACTTCTGGTCATGCAGATGGCTGTCTTCTCCCAGATGGCTGGCTCATGCAGCGTCATTTGGAGAGCTGTTTTCCATTGAGAGATGAGGTCACATCACCCCTCCTAAGAAAGAGTGCCCTTTCCCTGGCAGGTCCCCATCCCAATCACGGAAGGCTTGGATCCCTTGAGTCTGCTGACGGATGACGCAGACGTGGCCACTTGGAACAACCAGGGCCTCCCCAGCGACCGCATGTCCACTGAGAACGCCACCATCCTGTGCAACACGGAGCGCTGGCCCCTGATCGTGGACGCCCAGCTTCAAGGCATCAAGTGGATCAAAAACAAATACGGGAGTGAGCTGAAAGCCATCCGTCTGGGGCAGAAGAGGTGCGTGGGGGGCAGTGCTTGGAAACCCACTTTAGGCATTTCACATTTGTCGAATGGATGGGTGGATCTTTAAATACAAACACTAGCCCACAGGGTGAAATACTTTGTCCTGGGGAACAGCATGGTGGTAGGGAATTAACCCGGGGCTCTCTTTCCCCTTACCAGCCGCTCCCGCAGAGGAGAACTGCGAGGCGGCTGAGGGCCTGGGTTTGTGTCCTGTTCGGCAATTCACTGGCTGGTCATTTTCTCGCATCGCACGTGGTCTATTTTCTCATCGTAGATGAGAAACCATGGCTGTAACAATAGGGTAACAAAGGCTGCCCCGCTGCCATCCTTGAGCACCGGGATGTCAGATGAGATGCGGATGTGAAAGCGTTTGGCTCCTTTCAGGAAAGGATGAACCGTGGAGGGAGCCAGCTGCGGGCTCCCCGGCCGCCTCTCCTGCACATCCTCACTCGGTCACTCCGTCCCTGGGCCCCCGTCATTAAAGGTCTTATGTGCTGTGCCGTAGCTACCTGGACATCATCGAGCAGGCCATTTCTGAAGGGGACACCTTGCTCATCGAGAACATTGGTGAAACCGTGGACCCTGTGCTGGATCCTTTACTGGGCAGGAACACGATTAAAAAGGGAAAGTGAGTTGTTTGCACCCCATGGTTGAATCCAGGTAAACGTCTCAGCGAGGCCTTGGCAATGTTTGTAGAAAAAATGTATGGATTTTCCTTTGCTTTCCTGGTCAGTAGCAGGGGCCTTAACAAAATGCTGGCTGGTGTGAAGGAACCCCAAGCTCCGGAAGGAGAGATTGGAAAGACGGGCCCGATTCCCCTTTAGTAATATCTACAGCATCATTTTATTAGTGATTATCTCCAGGTGGCCGTCCTTGAGGGTCATGTTTTTCTTCTTTCTGTTCTTATGCATTTTGCAAATTTTGAGACTACAGTACTTTTGTTTAAGGCAGGTGAAATTCAGGTAACAGGGAATTAACCATATGCAAGTGTACAATTCAGCAGCATTTAGTACACTCACAGTGTTGTGCAGTTATCACGGCCGTCCAGTTTCATATTTTCATCACCCCAGAAGGAAACCCTGTACCCAGTAAGCAGTCACTGTCTGTTCCCCCTCCCTCCCAAGTTCTGAACACCAGCCCACTTTTTGTCTCCATGGATTTACCTATTCTGGACATTTCATAGAGATAGAATCATGCAACGAGTGTCTTTTTTGAGTCTGGCTCTTTTTTTTTTTTTTTGTCCTTTTTGAGACCGGCCGCACCGTGCTCAGCCAGTGAGCACTGTGAGCGCACCGGTCATCCCTATATAGGATCCAAACCCGCGGCGGGAGCGCCACCGCACTCCCAGCGCTGCACCCACCCGAGTGCGCCACAGGCTCGGCCCGAGTCTGGCTCTTTTTACATAGCATGTCTTCAAGGGTCTTGCATGTTGTAGCAGGTGTCAGTGCCTCATTCCTTTTTATGGCGGAATTATCTTCCATTGTATGGATCTACCACATTTGTTTATCCACTCATCAGCTGACACATTGAGCTTATGTTAATTTTTCATATAAAGAAAAAAAATCGGCTTTAAGACATAAGTGTCAGAGTTGACAGGAGCTGCCTTTAAAAGCAGGGGTGCCTGCAGAAGCCAGAACAGAGGTGGCACATAAATGCACTGATGTCTGGGAAGGCCTAGCATGAGGGCTGATACCCAAGGGGTGAAGACAGGGAGGGGCCCCCAAAAGCGAGCTCAATCAGAAAGAGAGAGCAGAGCCAGGAGCAAGAGAGAAGCGGCCCCCCACACTAGATCAACAGACCCAGGTGTCCAGCCCTGGGGAGCTTCCAGAATGTACTGGGTTCTGAATTAGGTCTGGAGTGGTGAGCTCGGGCAGACCCAGTCCAGAACACCAGTACATTCAAGTCGAGTCAGTCCCTGTCGAGGCTCCCCAGGTGAGCACAATGTGCAGCCAGAGGTGAGCAAACACCCTGTGGAGATAAGACCACATCCCCCGAGGAAGAGCAGGGCCTCTGGAAGACCCAGCCCCAGCCAAGAGGAGGAACGGACGAGGAGGGCTGAGCTGCTTTCCCGGCACCCAGGAGGAGGGTTCAAGGCGGCAGCCTGGCATGGGCACGTCCACCAGACTGGCACGAAGGGTGGTCTGAGCTGGCGTTACTGTCACTTGGTCACTGGGAATTCCTTTAACCCTTCCCTCCTCTGCCCACCAGGTTCATTAGGATCGGTGACAAGGAGGTGGAGTACCACCCCAAGTTCCGCCTGATCCTGCACACCAAGTACTTCAACCCGCACTACAAGCCGGAGATGCAGGCTCAGTGCACCCTGATCAACTTCCTGGTCACCCGGGACGGACTCGAGGACCAACTCTTGGCTGCTGTGGTGGCCAAAGAGCGCCCGGACCTGGAGCAGCTGAAGGTAACGCCCGACACCGGCCGAAGGGGCCTCCGCTTGTCACACTGAATTCTATCCTCTCGCCCAACAGAATGAGCCATTTCTCGCTCCCGCTGTCCCCTCATCCAGCTCCCCAATCTAATTCTAAGTCAAATGACCACTTCACTGAAAGAGCAGGAGTCACAGCGGTCCCCAGACAGCTCTAAAGCTGCAGACTGCTGCCCTCAAGAGCGGCCTGTGCCTCCGGCCCGTGTGCAACCACTTCTGCTCAGAGGGCCCAGGCCCGCCTGTCTCCCCCTTCTTTCTCCATGTTCACTTGACAGGAGGCTGGGAGCAGGCCCCCCACAGCTCTGGGGGCTCCCACTTCTGCCGGCCTCCTTTCAGCGTGATGTCATTTCTCTCCACCTGAGTCCCGGGCCTTGGCTTGGCCAACACAGCCTCTCAGGGAGGCCAGGAGTGCGCTGTTGACCGGCGAGGCCACGCAGTGCCTGACTTGGCTTCCCCGGGTCTCGGCCACTCCTGCAGGCGAACCTCACCAAGTCTCAAAATGAATTTAAGATTGTTCTGAAAGAGCTGGAAGATTCTCTCCTGGCCCGCCTGTCAGCCGCATCGGGGAACTTTCTGGGAGATACTACCCTGGTGGAGAATCTGGAGACCACCAAACACATGGCCAGTGAGATCGAGGAGAAGGTAAGAAGCCATCCTCCGCCACCTGCTCCCTGCCACCTGTCCCCTGTGGGCCCCAGGCCAGAGCATGTGGGAAGCTTGGCAGCAGGGCTGAGAGGTGCCTCCTCCAATGGGCAGGCAGAACAGAAGCCACAGCCACCTGAGTGCCCAGGGTGCCTGGACAGGGAGAAGGGGCCGGGTTCCACCCAGAATGCTGCCATCTGCTGAGAGTCCCCTGGGGTGGCTTTGGAGGGAGCACAGGGTTTTGGGTGGGGGGGCACTTGCCCATGGCGTTGTCCACCTGCTGGTTTTGTTCGAGCCCCTTTTGTTTGTTTTGAGGTGAAAGAGGCAAAAATCACAGAAGTTAAAATCAACGAGGCAAGAGAGAACTATCGCCCGGCTGCAGAGAGGGCGTCTCTGCTGTACTTCATACTGAACGACCTCAACAAAATCAACCCCATCTACCAGTTCTCGCTCAAGGTATGGCTGGACATGGGCTCGGGGGCTGGGGGCCTGGTGTCACCAGAGCCATCAGGCCATGCCAGGCCACCCTCTGAGGGCAGACCAGGTCCAGGCTGCAGACAGGGATGGGAGGGGAGCCAGGGGCACTGGATCAGTCCAATGCCAGCACGCTTGGAGGAGGGTCTGAGCTGGTCCCTCCACACTGCTCTTGCCCTGGTGCCCCCAGGCACCCCCTTCCCCAAATCAAAACAAGCCAGAGGCCACCGTGGGCAGTGGGGAGCCTCCGTGGCTCTCAGCGGCCACTTCCCCAGGCCTTCAACGTGGTGTTCGAGAAGGCCATCCAGAAGACCACCCCTGCCGACGAGGTGAAGCAACGTGTGATCAACCTGACGGATGAGATCACCTATTCTGTCTACATGTACACGGCCCGCGGGCTCTTCGAGCGAGACAAACTCATCTTCCTGGCACAAGTTGCATTTCAGGTAACATTTTGCTTGCTCCTCAAAGTGTGGTCCGTGGACCGGCAGCATCAGCACCCCCTGGGAGCTTGTTGGAAACACAGGTTCTTGGGACCACCCAGAACTGGTGAATCCGAGCCTACATTTTAACAAGATTCCCTGGTAATTACGAAGTTCGACAGGCCTGACTTGGAACATGCCTGGGGCTCTCTTTATTTGGTATTAGGGAAGCAGGCAGGGTGTCCCAGTGGGAGTTGCTGAAGGCGGAGGCCAGTGAAAGAGAATTTTACAGAGAAATGTGATTTTACTACATATAAGCAGTGCTGAGTGCATAGTCCCGCACTAGTGCTTGGCCCGCTGTGGACGCTGAACAATACGTCTTAAGACATAAGTGTATGAATGAACAGAAACTCGTCCTTCTTTATTTATACAGTCCTGATAAAATACGTAAAGATTTGCGTTCCATTCAATTGATTAAATGCCCCCTCTGTGATTTCGTTTACACTGTGTTGTAAGTATGGTTGGAAACACTAGTTTTATAGATGGCTTGGGTTTTCAATGCACACTCAAGCTGTGAACTGGTGGGGTCCAGATTAGGAGGTCCCTTTTATATCTGCATCTGAGTCACAGGTTCGCTGAGAGTTTTCCTCCCTGCTGGGAGGTCATCAGGGTCCTCAGTGCTCCCCCTGATTTTCCAGGGTAGAAAGCATTCTCTTCAGGTCCAAAGAATGTTCCGTTTAACCAGAAGAAAGGTCTGGCTCAGGGAGAAACTCTCTCTGGAGTCTGAAGAAGGGGCCGTTTGGGCACCAGACTGAGGAGACAGCAGTGACCCCCAGTCCCCAGCCCCCTGCCGTCCATCTGAGACAGACAGAGTCACGATAGCTACCCAACACAGCCACTTCGAATGACCCAGACCACACCCACTGCACACACAAGGGACAAGACAGCCTAGGGTGTGACCTGGCAATTCCACTCCTGGGTGTATTCCCCAAAGAATTGGAAACAGGCATCCAAACAGACCCTTGTACCCCAACGTCCGTGGCAGCATTCCTCACAGCAGCCGGGAGCCAAATCATTCCCAATAGCCAAAACAAGCCAAGTGCCCATCCGCAGTGAATGGAAAACTTCAATGTGCTACATCCAAACGTAAAATGTTATTCAGCCTTAAAAAGGAATTCAGTTCTGATGTATGCTAGGATGTGGATGAACCTCAGAAACGTTATGCTAATAGTGTTGCAAAAGGCATATCCCGTACGATTCGATTTATATGAAATGTCCAGAATAGGCAAATCCGTAGAGACAGAAAGCAGATGGGTGGTTGTCAGGGCCTGGGGGTGGGGGACGGGGAGTGACTGCTTCCTGGACAGAGGATTTCCTTTTGGGGTGATGAGAAAGTTCTGGAACTAGATAGAGGTGGTGGTTGCATAACATTGTGAATGTCCTTAATGCCAGTGAGTGAAGCGAGCACTTCAATAGGGCTCAAGTGGTCGATTTGACATTATGTGTATTTTACCACAGTTCTGAAAACACAGCAGGGGGAAGACAAGTTTTGCCCCAACCCCAAGGGGCAGGCCAGCATTTCTCCTGCCCTTCTGTGGGCTGCCAACACCCCTCACCCCTGCAGCGGGGCCAGCATTGAGTGTGTGGCCCTCACGTTCCCTCAGGTCCTATCCATGAAGAAGGAGCTGAACCCAGTGGAGCTGGATTTCCTCCTACGTTTCCCTTTTAAGGCCGGGGTCGTCTCGCCGGTGGACTTCCTGCAGAACCAGGGCTGGGGCGGGATCAAGGTTTGTCTCCAGGCTTTGGACACTGTGTACTGTCTCCCGCAGCAGAGCCTTTCCGGGTGATGCTGAGGATGTTTACAAGGCCCTCCTGTAAATCGGGTAAAGCAAGGAGGCCCCAGCCATAGGGATGGCAGACCCACTGGGCAGACTGCCAGGTCACAGGAAGCTTCCGCATTCCTATTTGAAATGCAACCCTCCTTAGGTCCCTGCACACGGCAGCAGAGGGCCACATCCACAGGGAACAGATAGGCCCTGCGCATGTCCGGGGATCAGCTCCTCACCCACCTCTTCCAGCCTCCTTCTCCTCCCAGGGCTCGGAAAGTGCAAAGTGTAAAGGTTATTCCTCAGATTCCTGGACACACACAGTCAGGGACCCTTGAGTTTCAATGTCAGAAAGCCCTGAAGAAGGAAGTCCCCTGAGACAGAATGGCCCTGTTTCCAGAGACCTCTAGAGAAGCAGCCACCAGTCCCTTCCCATATGCCCCACATGCCCCTGGATTAGATTCCTTCATGTTGGCCTGCAGCTGACATGGACATCTAGCTCATCGTTCCAGTGACAGGCCACTCAGGCGTTCCCTTCCCAGAGCCCCAGGAAGGCAATGGCCTTTCCTCACGGAATTCATATAGGATCGTCTTGGGGAAGGTGCCTGCTGGGCCTCTAGGTGGGCAGGTGAGCAGGAAGAGTGTCAGGGACTGTCATGTCTGCCCCTAGGCCCTCGCCGAGATGGATGAGTTCAAAAACCTGGACAGTGACATTGAAGGATCCGCCAAGCGATGGAAAAAGCTTGTGGAGTCAGAGGCCCCAGAAAAGGAAATCTTCCCCAAGGAGTGGAAGAACAAGACGGCCCTGCAGAAGCTCTGTATGGTGCGGTGCATGAGGCCGGACCGCATGACCTACGCTGTCAGGTTAGTGTCCCCGCAGAGGCAGAGGGCACGTCCAGGACGCCTCAGCCATGGGCCACTGCGCTGGGCATTCTGTGGACCTAAGTTAATCCTCCTAGCTCATTTTTTAGCTCCATTTTACCGAGGAAGGAAAGTAGACTCAGAGAAGTTAAATCCTTTGCCCGCATAGTTCTGCGGGGACAGAGGCAGGACCGACTCCAGTCCCGCGTTCCCGTTAAAATGTCAGTGTCTCAGGGTGCAGTTAGCAGAGTCCCTCGCCCCCACAGACCTGGGTGAGGAGGGACGCCATGTGACATATGATAGGAAGCAAGACTCGAGACTTCCCACTGAGCTCCAAGATGGCAAGTGGAATTTTAAGTGTGGACATGAATGTCCTCTGTGGTTCTACAAACAGGGTCCTTTTAGGATGGTTTGGGGAGAAAACAGTAGCAAAGCCACCAGCGTCTGAGGGCTTTCCACCCCTCAATAGCGAAATCTAAAGTCAGTGATGCGTGTTGATGATGGCTTGTTTGCAAGAGAAGTGTCCTAATTTCATGAACAATTTCTCCAGAACTAAAATGCTTGCACGTCGAAAGAGGACAAGCTGTTAAAGGAAATGGGGGTTTAACACGGAAACAGGCCCAGGGTCCATTCCTGGAGCACTTGTGGGCCATTTGGCTTCCTCTCTTTTCATTGCTTCTGACAGCCTGAAAGCAGCCCGATGTCCCAAAAGACACCACGTCCCTAAAGCAGAGGCCTGACTCACATGTGTTGGCTATTCAGACTTTTTTGGTCTTGCTTTGTTTTCCTTGGTAGAAAAGGAAAGGGGTGGGGGTGGGAAGCAGAATGAAACCAGGATCCTGTAACGCAGGAGGGTCATGCAGAGCAGGATCCTGGGCGCGATGTTGGAAGGAGGGAAAGGCCAAGGTGAAGGACACCTGACTGTCTCAGCAGGAACATCCACCTGCCTGGGATAGTTTAGCATGTTTGGGTCACAGGCCCATCCAGAAGGTGAGCTAAAATGACTTCCTCCATCTCCAGAGCACTTCTGAGGATTACCTGAGTTAACATATTGATGGCACGTTGGTGACCTAAAATAAGGAAGGGGACACGAACTGCAGAAGAACTACAGTGCTTTGCGTTGGCATGGGTGATCCCAAACCCAGGGGAACCCAGATCACGTCCTTGGCCTTGAAATATGCAACATTCTTATGATGTGGAGGAAAGCAGATTTACCTCCCTAATGACAGGGGGTGGGGGATAGCTTAAAAGCAAAGAAATTCAGATAGATGGTGAGTAACAGCAGCAGCTAGTGCTGATCACGGGCATCTCCATGGCATTACTGAAAGCATTTTGCCTCTGTTAACTCACGGGTCCCTCCCACAATCCCAGGAATGGCAGGTCCACATTCCCGGTTCACAAGCACAGAGAGCGGAAGGGGCTTGCCCAAGGCAGAGTGGTGTACAGGCAAACTGCTCTGCCCTCAAAACAATACAAATAAAAAAAAGTCCTAATTTATGGCACTTGCCAATTTCTGTGGTGTAAATACTCCCACCGTGGCCGCTGTAAGCTGCCAGGGGTTTGCTGGGAGCCGCCGCAGCAGTCCTCTGCCAAGGACACACACAGGGGGAGGTGGGGCCTGCCTGGAGCCTGCCAAGCACACGTTGTTCTGCATCATTAATTCACCCACAAAGAATGGCCCTATGGCCTGGCCGAGTGAGTCTCAAAGGCAAGGTGTTCCAGCCATGCCCAGGGGCAGGGTTCAGTAAGTCTGGGAAGTCCCTTCCTGGACAAGGATCACAGCATCTATGTGCTGGATCAATTCCAAAGGCCTGAACTGAACAGAACTGGGGCTTCAGGAGGTGCACCTCCTCCCCTCCTCCCTGCCTCCCATCAGCTAATTGCAGAAGCCAGAGGAGGCCAGAGGGGGAAACAAACAGATAGAGGTGTCCCCGGAATGTCCCAAGGGAGAGGAAGGGCCCCAGCCTGCTGGCCCCTGCAGCACTCAGACAGCACCTGCCTAAGGACGCACACATCCTCGCCCCAGGGGTGCCGCCTTTTGTCCATTCGAGGACCGGGCTGGAGTTAAACTACTCGGTTTGGTTCATATGACTCATTCAGAATACAGTAAGCTCAGCCGTCTGTGATCAAGGGAGAGGCGCAGATTCTTGAATCCAAAGATCACCCCCAAGAACACTAGATTTTCCCTGCGAGGATTATCTGAGGCCTTAGAAAGAGTTTGGGGCTTGGTACAGAGAGGTGTTAATGGATTCTAAAGTCACTTTTGTTCCTTTGATCTTTCTGATTATCCATGTTTTGTGGTCTTTCAAGCTCATCAAAACTGCTCTAATTTGAACTTCCTAACTTCTCAACCCCGCTCGGCTGACCTTGTGTGCCTTTCCAAACAGGGGTGACATCAGTTCAGAGACAACCTCTCCCTGCACCTACTCCAAGGAGGGGAGCATTGCAGGGCCCCTCCGGAAACAAAGAGTGTCCCCAGCAGATAAAGCCAGGGTGGAAGACACAGACCCCCCCCACATGCACGCACAGCCCTCGCCTTGCAGGAAGAAAAGCCCTGTAAAGACTTTCTCTGCTTAAGAAAGTCCACCAAGAAAATGGCCCTTCCTTCCACCCAGGGCCGTGGCCCACCCCAGCCCCCTCGCCCTTGGCCCAGAGCAGCAGCTCCCACTGCCTTTGGTCTGACAAAGCACGTTGCCCCCAGGAACTTTGTGGAGGAGAAGATGGGCAGCAAGTTTGTGGAAGGCCGGAGCGTTGAATTCTCTAAGTCCTACAAGGAGAGCAGCCCCTCCACTCCCATCTTCTTCATCCTTTCCCCGGGCGTGGACCCTTTGAAAGATGTGGAAGCCCTGGGTAAGTGCAGCGGGCGAGGGCTGTGCTCAGAAGTGGGGCATGTGCCAGCATCGTCAGCCACAGAAAAACGCATGTCAAAACCACAGCGAGAGGCCACTGCACACCTGCTAGGATGCTGTCATTGAAAACAGAAAAACGACAGGTTGGTGAGAGAAATGGGAACCCCTGTACAGTGCTGGCGGGAACACAAAATGGCGCAGCTGCCGTGGCAAACAGTTCGGCAGTTTCTCAGTAAGTTACGTGTAGAATTACCATAGGCCGCAGCAATTCCGCTCCTGGGTACACGGAAGAACTGAAAACACTTTAGACAAGCATTCATTCACAATAGCTAAAAGGTAGAAACACCCCAAATGTCCATCAGCTGATGAATGGATAAACAAGACGTGGTCCATCCACACTATGGAGTATTACTCAGCCATGAAAGGGAAGGAAGCCCTGACGTGGGCTATGACGTGGACAAACCTTGAAAACACGCTAAGTGAAAGAAACCAGGCACACAGGCCCATAGTGCATGTTTCCATTTATACTACATACCCAGAAATGGTAAATACACAGGGAAAGAGAGCAGATCAGTGGTTGCCAGGGGCAGGGGCAGGGCGGGGGGGCTGCTTACTGGGTGTGGGCACTCCTTCTGGGGTGACGACAACGTGCTGGAACCTGATAGACGGTGGCACGACACTGGGAATGTACTAAATGTCACTGAATTGCACACTGTAAGGTGTTTTTTAAAATGCTAAACTTTATGTTATATTTATCTTACCACAATAAAAAAAACCCGGGGAGGTGTGTGGAATTCCCAGCTGTGGATCACAGAGCCTAACCGTCATCATTTAATCATCCCCATGCTTTTCCTGTTTTTCTTTTCCTTAGGGAAAAAGCTGGGATTTACCATAGACAATGGAAAACTCCATAATGTGTCCCTGGGGCAGGGACAAGAGGTGGTGGCCGAGAACGCCCTGGACGTGGCTGCAGAGAATGGACACTGGGTCATTCTGCAGGTACAAGGGGCCGGCATCGCCAGGGTGAGGGATCCCCTCACTAAGGTGGCCCTGGGGACAGGCCAGGAGGCCTGAAAGAAAGCAGGTCATGAGATTCACATTCAAAAATGTGACTGGGAACTCAACAGCCCACTGAAGGCCCCCAAGTTGTTGGCACCCTGGTCAGCTGGGTGGTGGGGCGGGCACCAGGATGGCCCACATGAAAGCACACTGGGGTTTATACCAGAATACCCCTAAAAAAAACCCTCCCCCAAAAAAACCCACTGGGCCGACAAAAGCATCCTCCTCCTCCTCCCCCTTGCCTGGGGCAGGCAGCAAGGCCACAGCGCCCAGGAGACGCTCTCCCCATGTCTGCTAAACCTGAGCACGACCAGCCGTCCTCGGCCTGGGCCCACCTGCCCCTCCTAGCCCCCAGCTGGCCCCACAGACCCCGAGCCTGCCACGTCTTCCACAGACCCCACAGTGTGTGTTGACCTCAGTCCCCAGGGCCTGGCCGGGCCCTGTGTGAAGCCCCTGGCTTCAGGAGGAGGGCGGGGACCATGCGAGTAAAACGTCAGCCTGTGCCAGGGAGGACACGGAGGAGTCCCCATAAGGCTGGAGGTTTTGAACTAACTGAGCACGAGAATCAACTCTGGGGCTTCAGTCGCTTTGCTGAAAATATCCCGGCATGCCCAGCACCTGGCTGGGGGGACGGGTGGCGAGTGTGGGGTGCCCGCAGGAAGAGCCCTGCCCACTCCTGGGGACATGGCCATGCAGCCGTCCTTGTGGGCCCAGGGCTGGGGGAGAGGCGTGTGCGGGCAGCTCACTCCTGGTCCCGGTTGCAGAACATCCACCTGGTGGCCCGCTGGCTGAGCACCCTGGACAAGAAGGTCGAGCGCTACAGCACAGGCAGCCACAGCGACTACCGCGTGTTCATCAGCGCAGAGCCGGCCCCCAGTCCCGAGTCCCACATCATCCCCCAGGGCATCCTGGAAAACGCCATCAAGATCACCAACGAGCCCCCCACGGGCATGTACGCCAACCTGCACAAGGCCCTGGACCTCTTCACCCAGGTAGGGTGGCACCGGCTCAGGCTGCTCCCCCATCTTGTGCCTGGGCCCAGTGTTGGGCCCAGCGTCGGTCCCCACATCCCCTGAGCAGCCACAGGGCCCAGATGAAAGGAAGGAGTTGGGCCTGTGAAGCCAAGGGTCACCCTGTGAACAGGGGGACCCACCCACCCTGCTGTCTCCCCAGTACACTTGTGCACACACGCACAGCATGTTGCAAAACCCCTACACTCCTGAAAGACTGTGCAAGAGGCAAACGATTTCAAGTGCTATGGCACGCTAATACCTACAACTTTGTAAAGCAGGAGCACATTGTTTTAATGGGTTTCACGGGCCTGCAAGCCGGCCCAGGTAAACGCTGCTCATCACGTCTGGGGATGGTGAGCTAACCAGTCACCACTGGGCCCTTGAAACAAGGCCGAGTCCCACAGGTGGCTCCTGAAGGTCCATCAGCCTCCCTGGGGCCACGGCCCTGTCCCTGCTTGCGGTCTCACGAGGTATGACGCTGGTCTGAAGGCCACAGCACCCACTGCCGGAGGCAATCGGTGACTGGTGGGAAGATGGTGAGACGTCCTCACTGGGCCTCGGGCTCTGGTTCCATGACCCCTTTGGTCGCCTTCAGTCCCCTCCCCCAACCACCATCAGCAGGAAAGCTGCCAAAATGTAGCTGGCTTGGTCGTCCTCTGCTAATAACTGCAGTGGCTTTGCACTGCCCCTAGGACAGAGGGCGAAGGCCTTGAGGACCCAGGGCACCAAGCCCCCAGGCTGGGTCCCCTCCACCACCTGGAGCCTGTGCTCAGCTGACTCTTCCCTGTAACCCAAACCTCACAATCCTCCAGTCCTCCCTGGCCACCCTTGTGCACGGGGGTCACTCCCTTCTGCAGATCCCCAGCTCTGTACTCATCCTGTTGGCTCCTCATTGTTTTCTGCTGCACTAGTGAGCTTTGTAGCAATTTGACACGGCTGTGTGTCTGAGCACATGCTGTTTTTCCTTTAGTATTTCATTTTTATTGTATTTTGCAGAAGTCTCGGTCAGTGAAAGGTGGGGGTGGGGCAACGGTGGGCGGGGACCTTGGCCTTCCCTTCCAGCCAGTTTGGAGCCCTGTGCCCATCAGCACATAGGAGTGGCATCTAATCCAGTCTCCGGCTGGAAGGTGGGTGCCAAAGGAGACCTTTTGGAGGAAAAGGCAGCTGAGGCCTGCTTGCGGTGTGCAGGGGTGAGCCAGGTGAAGAGGTTTGTGAAGCAGCTCGGCAAGGGGGAAGAGTAGGAGGAAGCCTGTGAGAAGCAGCGGCTCCCAGGCGAGTGCAGGAGGGGGAGGGCAGAGCAGGAGAGGGGCCCAGCTGGAGCAGGCTGATGCCTCTGGGGGACAGAGCGGCTGCTGCGCAGCTTCCTGAAGCCTCTGTGTGTTCAGGAGCCTCCCACCCCCCACTTAGCAAAGACTAATCAGTAAAATTTCACTAACCCAGAGAGATCTAGGATCCAGAATTTGGACTGCATTTGCCCTACCCTGGGCCACTAGAAAAGAAAGGGTTTGCTTAACAACACCCCTCCCTGTTATAGGAAGACTTCGCCAACTGTTTTTAAAGAGTTTGGGATACTATTTGTATGCGAAATGATGCGGAATGGTGACGGTTACAGAGGAACATCATTTCTTACTAAATAAGTCCTGAAATGTCCAGTATTTGGGAATATTTTATTAGAAATCAGTATCAATAATTCAACTTGTCGTAAACATGAAAAAGTGGTAAAACCGCGTTTCTAAAGGAAACAAGCGAGCGAGCTCTGCCTCGGCCTTTGCGGACAGCTCCCCGCGTGGCCGTCTGAAGAGAGACCAGCTCAGAGACAATCGGTGGCTCTGTCGCTGACCCCACCACCGCCCACTCCACCGCAGCTGCAAAGCCTGGGCTCTTGCCCCACTTGGGGCCTTCCTGTGTAAAATTCTCCCTTTCCCTCTTCCTCTTGTTAACATTCAACACGGAACATGTCACCCCCAGGACACCCTGGAGATGTGCTCCAAAGAGGTGGAGTTCAAGTGCATCCTCTTCGCCCTGTGTTACTTCCATGCCGTGGTGGCCGAGAGGCGCAAGTTCGGTGCCCAGGGCTGGAACAGGTCATACCCCTTCAACAACGGGGACCTCACCATCTCCATCAACGTGCTCTACAATTACCTGGAGGCCAACACCAAGGTGAGGGATGAAATCAGTGTGCCGATGCACCTGGCCACCCCCAAATCGGTCCCTTCCCCGTCCCCCTCCGCCGGCTTGGACACGATCCCTCCTTCTTTCCTTCCATCCTCCTCCTCCCTCCCTTTCTTTAACTGTTCTCCGTCTTATGTCTGAAAGATGTTAAGTAGGTTTCATAAGCCAAAGAAAATCTGAAAAACATAAAACTCACCTCACAACCTGACATGACTGTCACCACCCAGTCCGCTGCCACCTCCTCCTGCACTTCCTTTCTGGCAATTTGCTGCTATGAGCACACTGCGGGGGTCCACTCAAAGGCATCTGCTCATCTTGCATCTGAACAGGGATGTGCCCCAGAAACCCCAGCACCCCTGGCAGCGTGACCTGGGACGACGGAGCAGACACGCAGGGCTTCCTGGGCTGTGGGCCTCCACTGGGGCTCTGTCGGGGTCTGGAGGGTCCAAAAAAACCTCCTTGGAAAGAAGGGAGCCCTTCGTTTCATTTTCATGGAAAATGAGAATAAATGCATAATGTCACTTGCAAACTGCTACAGAGGACTGAAAAGAAAGCCAGCACGTCCTCCAGAAACTCTAGCAGCCACGTCCGAGGGGGCTGAGCAGGGTACAGAGTGGGCAGACACATGTGGCCTGGGGTTTATGAGCACAGGTTTGGGACCAGACTGGGGTTTTGAATCCCAGCACTGCAGTTTACTAGAGGGGCCCCCCTCCGTAAGTGGCATAAACCCCTCAGGCCTGGTGGCTCCATCTATAAATCCCCCTAAGGCTCAGCCACAACCACCCACCCCCCCATAAATTGGAGAGAGCAGTAGTCACCACCTCACATGGAGAAGCAGCGGGTAGAGCTGGGCCAGGAGCCGGCTCGCCGAGCTCTCATGGGACAGGCCCGGACGACGGTGGTCTCCATCAGCAGGTTGATGGGGGCGCACTTCACCTAAAACAGGTGCACACCTTACCATTCCCACCATTACACGTGCACAAGGAGAAGAGGTTAAGGAGGGTTCTCATTGTCGTGGTCAGGAGAGTTCCCTCTGGGGAGGTCAGTTTGGGAGGAACAGTTTTGTAAGAATTTCTTTAAGACGTTTCTGCACCACTTCCCCGGCTCATACACGCACGTACAGATTCCAAGCTGGCCAAGAATCCATGAGAGGGCACTTGGCGCGCTTCGGGGACCCCGCATCCCTCTGAGCACGGTGCTCCAATCAGGCCTGCACTGGCTGATCCTACCTCTCCATCCAAGTCCGAGAGCATGTCCCGGGGGCCTCTCCCCGTGTGCAGATGTGCCACCAGCTCCCTTCACTCTCCCTTCATAGCGCCAATACGCCTGACCTCAGTAACCACCTGCGATGACGTTGTCCACGGCCATGGCTTGGTCAGTCCTCCGACCCTGAGGAAGTAGGTCAGTGCTTCCCACACGAGCCGGAAGACAAAAATCAGCCGGAGTGTTTGTTAAAAACACAGGCTGACCTGTGCAGACTTTCCCAGGAAGAGGCCTGCTATCTGTACCTCCAAAGCACACGGGACGTTCTATCCGGCAGGTCACACCCCTCCCTGGTCATTAGTTCCACTGGTCCCCTCCCCTCTGCAGGAAAGGACTATCCCCAGCAGGCAGTGTGTGGGGACAAGAGGCAGAGTGGGGGGTGGGTTCCTCCTGCTTCACAGGAAAGCAGATGCAGCTGTTAAAGCAAACAAGTAAGACGCAGAAAAGCAGCTCAGCACACAACCAAGATAACCAAGCAGAGGAAAATATCTCTAAATCACAAAATGACAATTCGGAGAATATTAATGTTTTCACTAAAAATTCATGAGACTAAAACAGACAATAGATTAATCAACGAGTTCTTACTCAATTTAACTCGCCAGTATTTGAGAAATAGCTCTTTTAGGCAGGGCACTGTGGAAGTCACAACATTACACGAATGTCCACCTTGCCTGTAAGGAGCTGCAGTTGGGCTGGCTGGTTAGCTCGGTTGGTTAGGGTGCCACCCTGTAACACCAAGACCTGCGATCCTTGGGGAAATGCACGTGTGCAGAAGTGGTGGCCGAGCATGGGCCCCGACCGGGACAGCAGCTGGCCATGGGCCACACGTGGAATGCGGTGAGTCCAAATTGAGAGGTTGGGCGTGTGTAAAGTACTGAAAAGAGAATGTAAGAAGGTCTTATTAATTTTTATACCGATTACACATTGGAATGATCTTTTTACTTTTCTGAAAGGGCTGTTAGAGAAGTTAGAAGGACCCCTGGCTCCCACTGCACTTCTGTTGGATGGCACGGTGCACGAGAACCAGCTGCATGCCAGGGGCACGGGGGTGGCAGGAGGCTGCACTGGAGCCAGGCTTTGCAGGACGTGGGGCGAGCACTTGAGGGCAAGGGTGTACAGTGAAACAGCAAGGAAGAAGAGAGAACAGCGGGGACAGCTGAAGGGCAGGATGAGCGGAGACACAGCAAGAGACAAGGCTCGGCAGGCCACACAGAGTGTGGTCTTTGTCCCACAGCCCTGGGAAGCTGAAGTTTGCATCAGGTACATGACTTGCTCAGAGCCATCTATGCTACTACAAAGACCTCCGAGGCACACATGAGCAAGAGCTACTTGGAAATATGTAATAAACAAGGAAATTCGGAACCAGGACAACTTCAGTGGGGTCAGTACGGAAACCCGCCTGATACATCTTTGAAGATATGACTTCAAAATGGACTTCATGGCTGAAAGGATCCAGGATGCCCGAGAGTTAGGACTCGAGCCACATAGAACTAAGCTGCCTTTGTTGAAAGAGTGTAGGCTGGCCGACTATCTCACTTGGTTAGAGCATGGTGCTGATAACGCCAAGGTCAAGGGTTCAGATCTCCTTACCGGCCAGCCACCAAAAAAAAAAAAAAAAAGTGGACTGTGAAGGGACGGGGTCACAGCCAGCACCATGTTTGTGAGCACAGATGAAAGGACAAGGCAGAGGGAGCACATTCTGTTCTAGCCCCACGGCACCAGCAGAAGAGCCCTGCCAAAGTCACCATCAAGGTTAGTGCAGAGAGAAAGCCGGCGGTGGAAGCACAGTCTAGGACTGGGAGAGAGGCTGGACGGCCCCTCATGAGAGAAGCCAAAGGGAGACAGTGTCACGGAGGGGCTGACTGCCGAGTCAGACTCCAGGGAACAGTGGCATGGAAGGGGAGAAGGCGGCCTTTGGGGCTGAGTGGTAACAGGTCCACTGGGAGGCCGAGCTGGCAGGCGAAGATGCAGCGGCACAGACTCAGGGCCCTCACGCATGGCTGCCTAAGCCTCAAAGACAGAAAGGGACAGCGGGCACCTTCCCCTAACCACTTTCATCCTTCCTAAGGTGCCCTGGGATGATCTCCGCTACCTTTTTGGTGAAATCATGTACGGCGGCCACATCACGGACGACTGGGATCGCCGGCTGTGCAGGACCTACCTGGCCGAGTACATCCGGGCCGAGATGCTGGAGGGAGAAATCCTGCTGGCCCCGGGCTTTCTGATCCCCCCCAACCTGGACTACAAGGTAAGGAGAGATGTTCCTGCTCAGGGACGGATGACAAGGTAAACATGAGCTCACTCCGTGACGCAGCAGCAGCAGCAGAGGCTGACGCCGTCCTGGCTGGTCCCCGCGAGAGCCTCCCTCACAGGTGGAACATCAGTGACAGAGACCGGATGAGAGGCGCAGCCTCTGGGAAGGGGGTGGGAATTTCCTTCATGTAGCTGGCGAGCAAAGGGGCAGCCCATGGCGGGGGTTAGGGAGCAAGTGGGATTTGTACAGAGGGCAAGATGTGGGTGGAACGTCCTGGCGAGAAATGCGTAATAAACAGAGGACACAGGTTTCGGTGTACACAGCTTTCCTTTGGCAGCCGGCTTACAAACCGCCCCTCTTTCCAGGGCTACCATGAATACATCGACGAGAATCTGCCCCCCGAGAGTCCCTATCTGTATGGCCTGCACCCCAACGCGGAGATTGGCTTTCTGACAGTCACCTCAGAGAAGCTGTTCCGCACTGTCCTGGAAATGCAGCCCAAGGAGACTGACTCGGGAGCAGGCACAGGAGTATCTCGCGAGGAAAAGGCAGGGTTCTTCGTATCCATTCCCAGCGACAGGGGAAAGACGGGGCTTGGGAGGGGAAGGGGTAGCAAAGCGCAGACCTGACCGGCAGCAGCCTGGAGCTTGTTAGCGAGGTGCACTCTGTCCCCAGCTTGGGTTCAGGAAGCAGAAACTCTGGGGTGGGCCCTCCAAACTGGCTGACAGGTCCCCCGCTGTCCCTGACGAGGCTCAGTGTGAGAACCATGGGCCTAGTCCTGTGATGACACTGGCTGAGGGCTCAGGAGGGCACCTGTCATTCTGTAGCCCTGCCCTGCAAGCACAGGAGCAGCAGGCATGGCTCTTACAGGACAGTGCAGATGCGCCAGGACAGTCCTTCCACACGAGCTCAGGCGACTGCAACGGCAGATCCCAATAACACTCAAAGCATACAGAGGCTCAGAGAATGTCAGAGCATTTAAAAAATTCTCGCCTGTCTGTGCCATCTCATGAGGCATCAGCAACCTCGCACTCTTTAATATATTCTGGAAAAGTTCTATCAAATGTTAGCTGAGTATTGGGCTTTACAGTACACTGACCAAGTTCTTGACTGAAAGGCCCTTATTGCTATCAAGCCCGTGATCTTTTCTCCATCTAATGATTAAAACTAGAAATCTCCTGACAGACAGTGGGCCACTCCTTGGGAGGACAAAGTCACAGTTCTGTGACCACTGGGTGAATCTGACAGAGGGAAGGAAGCCAGTGCATTTGGAAATGTCTGGAGGCCCCAGGCCAGGGTGGCCTGACGGGGCCACAGCCTTGCCTGTGGGAACAGAATATACACGGCCTGTCGGCCCAGGTTCCCTTCCCCTCATCAGACGGGATCCTATGACCCCGCATGCCTCTTCCCTCTTCTCCGGGATTCGGGTCTGTGGATGTTCTGGGCCCTCTGCTTGGGCAAAGATGCAGTGACGGGGCTGCTGGGGACTGACTTCCAGGTGAAGGCCGTGCTGGATGACATCCTCGAGAAGATTCCGGAGGTGTTCAACATGGCTGAGATCATGGCAAAGGCAGCTGAAAAGACTCCCTACGTGGTGGTCGCCTTTCAAGAATGTGAAAGAATGAACATCCTAACCAACGAAATGCGCCGTTCGCTAAAGGAGCTGAACTTGGGGCTGAAGGTAAAGAAAAGTAAAAGGGTCGCCCGGCCGGGGGACCTGGCTTAGGAAGCAGGCTCGCCCCCACAGTCTGACTCACCAGCTCGACTGCGGCACAAACAGCAGACCCCAGGCCTCGCAGAGACTCGGCCCCTGGGGATTAGCGTGTCACTGCTTACCCCCTTCTTTCCCTGGTCTGGAGTTCTGGGCATTCCAGAACAAGCCACAGGAAGTTATCTGGACTGTTCCCTGGCAGGAAACGCTGGTTGTGGCCCTGACGTAGAGTGTCTCCAGAGGCACCGCACAGAGCCACAGTGTTGACACAGCTCATGACACACATGACACACACTGGAGCGGGTGGCTCTCCCATCCTCCCAAAAGCAGACAAAACAAGGCATATGCCTGACCACTTCTGCCCTGTGCCAAGTGGCATGGCCTGGGCTCCCCTGTATCCCTGTCTGTGTGTCCCTTAGGGGGAACTGACCATCACGACTGACATGGAAGACCTGTCCACAGCTCTGTTTTATGACACCGTGCCCGACACATGGGTAGCCCGGGCCTACCCCTCCATGATGGGCCTGGCGGCCTGGTATGCTGACCTGCTGCTCCGCATCAGGGTAAGCACAATGTTCCCTTGGGGCTGCTGCCTGTCTTAGACCCAAGGACTAAGTGCCAGGGCCTGGCCTGCCCACAGGAGCATGGCTGTGGAGCCCTGGAGGCTCCTGCTGGCCTGGCCTGTGTCAGAGCAGGGCCGGAAGGGCCCAGTGCATGCCACTCAGATGGCCTGACAGTGCGGGCGTCTCCTCCGTTAAGAGGAACACTGGCAAGCCTGAAGCGAGAGTGGCTTCCATCAGCTCTTGCCCAGAGCGCAGAAGCTCGAGTGAGCTCTCAGGGTGAACGCCTTCTGTCAGTAACGAGGCTCCCAAATCATCCTCCAGGGTTAAACCATTCCCTTCTTGACCCTTCTCTTCCTGTTTCCTCATTTGAAATGGAGCCAGACAGCAGAGCTTGTCCCGGGCAGGCGGCTGGGCGCCACTGATCCCTGTCAAGCACTCGGTGCCCGGCTCAGCAACAGCCCGGCCAGTGTTCCCAGGTCATCCTGCACCCTCTCCTCTCAGCAGCATGGGTCTCCCTCCAGGAGCTCGAGGCCTGGACGACAGACTTTGCCCTGCCCACCACCGTGTGGCTGGCTGGGTTCTTCAACCCACAGTCCTTCCTCACGGCCATCATGCAGTCCACGGCCAGGAAGAGCGAGTGGCCCCTGGACAAGATGTGTCTGTCTGTGGAAGTGACCAAGAAAAACCGGGAGGACGTGACAGCTCCCCCCCGGGAGGGCTCCTACGTGTACGGGCTCTTCATGGAAGGTAACCAGGCCCTGACCTGTCTGCAGAAGCTTCCAGAGCCAGTCCTACTGCCGGAGGAGCTCTTGGCAAAGACAGACAGTGCACAAGCTGTGGGGCAGATGGGAGAGAGGCACTCTCTGAGTGGCGTGTCGGCTCACGGCCACACTGACCGCTAGGGAGGGCTGACGGGATTCCAAGAACATGTAGAGGTCTGGAGGGGAGCAAACTCCCGTCCGCCAGCCGGGGCTCTGCTTGACTGGAAAGGGCAGTGCTTGGGTGAGGACAGCTTAACAACTGTTTACAGGCAATGAGGAACTCTGCCCTTCCTGGCCTGGGAGCAGGGAGCCAGGGTGGACGTGCGTTTTGTGAGTGAGAGGGCTACAGGGCACACGAGCTGAGCCTCGGCCACGAGCCCACCTCTGCTGGTGCTCCTGCCCCAAGTCCACCCACTCTGTCAGCTTCTGCCCCCATCCTCGGGAGCCCAGGGTGAGGCCATCTGGTGGCCAGGACCCAACAGCGGAAGAGGAAAGAGAAGCCAGGGTGCTCATTAGAATTCACTCCCACGTCAGCCCTGTCCTACGGGCAAGAGGTGGCAGACAGGACAGTGAGGCAGGCCATTTCCTCAGACCCACATTGAGCTGAACATCTACTCCACCACAAACCTGTCCCACTCAACGAATGATGTCACCCCCTTACCTGTGGGGTGACAGGGCCGGGCCAGCCAAGGCTCAGGCACCCCGTTCCCACATTACTGAAGACAAGCACAGCAGCAGCCATTCCTCATATTTATTTTGGAATTAGAGACAGGAAATATAAACATCATTAAATAGGGTGAGTAGAAATAACAGCAGTCTGGTTAAAGGCAAATAATATTTATATATGCATATACATATAGTTATTTATACTGTATACGTACACACAGAGTAGACATTACACATGACGGGAACCAGGGAACGCTAATCACCTGTAGTTTTCAGCTGGAGTTATGGTTTCCTGCCATTGAAATTAAGAAAGCTGACAGATAGGGTCTGAAAACACGACAAAGTTAATGGATGGACCTGAAGAGCTTTAGTGCTAAACTGTTCCTCAGTGCATAGGGCAATACTCGAGACACTCGGGGCAGCTACAACATGCACTTAATTACCCACAAAGTCCTCTGTTTACAACTCCATGTGTAGCAATTGCTGTGCCAGTCCAGCCCCTGGCACCTGGTCTGAACTTGCACCTCTGCAAAGGGTGGGGTGGTGCAAGGGCCACGCCTTGCCCCTTGGGCCCCCCCACTTACTGCCGCACACCAGACAGGACCCAGTCACCTCACCGAGGCCCCCTGACCCTCAGCTGTGCTGTCCCCACAGGAGCGCGCTGGGACACCCAGACTGGAGTCATCGCCGAGGCGCGGCTGAAAGACCTGACGCCGGCCATGCCTGTCATCTTCATCAAGGCCATTCCTGTGGACCGCATGGAGACCAAGAATATCTATGAGTGTCCCGTGTACAAGACGCGCATCCGCGGCCCCACCTACGTCTGGACCTTCAACCTGAAGACCAAGGAGAAGGCGGCCAGGTGGATCCTGGCAGCCGTGGCGCTGCTCTTACAGGTTTAGCTTGCGCCTGGGTCCTGCCTCGAGCCCACGCTCCCCTGGGCCAGATCAGCGGCCTAACCACAACTTAGAATTTCCAATGAGAAACTCAGCCTTATGACAGCGGCTTCTTTTCATTACAGGAACTGAGGGTTGCTTTTTGTTCTCTTACACAGTCAAGGTGCTTTGTAACCAAGCACATCTGGACAATCCAGGGGTGGAGGTTAGCATGAAGAGGCATTACACATTAAAGCAGTTGGTGTCGCTTAGCTGTGCTCATTTGATTCCGTTGAGTTGGCCCTCAGCTCTGTGCCTGATGGTCACCATGGGGCCTGGCACAGACTTGGGGTTGAGGTCTCAATTCTTACTGAAATACAAGAATTGTGGAGGCGGCAGCTCCTGTTTGCAAGAATCCCAAATCCTGACTTCCCAGCGGCGAGCAGGGGAGGGTGTCATTTGGGTTTATTTTTTATGGATCTTTTTTTTGGTGGTGAGGGGTGGGGACAGCTGACCTGTACAAGGATCTGAACCATGTCCTTGGGGTTATATGACTACGCTCTAACCAGCTGAGCTAAATGGGCAGCCCCAGGTTTATTTATTTTTTAACACAAGCAGCATGTGGGGTTAGGGTGCGGCAGTCAAACCCTTTGGCCTGCTCTGCATGAGAACAACCCACCAGAGAGGGGACAGAGCATTTCCTCACAAATAGGAGCCATCGCCTCCATGCACAGCATCTCATCGGGCATCATTCCCTTCTCTCAAGGATGAGAGGACCTTCTGTAATCACACACGTCCCCACCACCCCTCGCCTACAGAATCTGGAAGAACAAACTATTCCACATAGGCGCCATTTCCCCTTCTGCTGCCCACACTTTCTGCAATTGCTGGGCACAGAACACCATAAACATGGCCCTTGGGGACCACCTTAAGCATGTGCATGGGTCCTGGAAGGTTGCAGTGTCTTACTTCAATACTAAACACCCTAGTGCAGGGTTGGCAGCAGTTCAGCAGTGTGGGCCTCCAGCAGCCTGCCTGAAGGCTGGGGGATGTGAGAGAGTCACGGGGCCGGTGAGAAGGGGTGCAGAGCAGGTCGGATGCCCATATGAACTGTAAGGCACCGGCTTTGGGACAGCTATTTTGGTTGAACAGCAAGTGGTTTCCACCCAATTCCAGGCACAGAGGCAAGGCCAAGGACCAGTGACTCTTCTCCATAGTGAACTGCAATCCTGGCATAGGAATGCCAAGTCCCCTGTTCCTTTGGACAAATCCTTCAGCCTATCTCTCAGGCATCTACAGAACAACTGTAAAAAAAACTACCCTTGGGCCGGCCCGGTGGCGCACTGGAGAGTGCACTGCTTGGGAGCGCGGCGGCGTTCCCGCTGAGGGTTCGGATCCCATGTGGTGACCGGTTCCCGCTCACTGGCTGAGCGCGGTGTGGGCGCAACACCGAGGGTTGCGATCCCGTTACCGGTCAGTAAAAAAGACAAAAAGGAAAAAAAAAAAAACTACCCTTGACCTGTCAGAGAGAGAGGGCTCAGGAGAGCTGTGCCCTACAGGAACGGTGGTCCACAGACACACACGACTTGTGGTAAAGGTCAGCTGGCAGCAGTCTGCTCAGAGCTGGCAGGGAAGGTGGGAGAGGCAGCCTCCATGGGCAGTCCCTCCTCACTTCCCGAGTGCCAGCTGGCAGGGCTGCCCTGAGATGTGAGGCCTGGCTTAGACCTTGGGCTCCCATCTGACTGACAGGAGGCTGTTCCATCTGCAATCGGAATGATTTCAGCAAAAGTGAGACCAAGATCCCCAGCCCTGGGACTCTCCGTGGCCATGCTGATGAAGTACAATCCAGCAAAGTGGTCAGGCTGCCACTCAAGGCTGGCTGGGCAGTGGGATGCAGATGGGGGTGGGAGGCAGCTGGTAGAGCATACAAACTCCAGATAAGACAGATGTCAGCAAGACCAAGACATGGTCCTTGGCGTTTTTTAGGCTTAAGAGCAAAGAGAAGGAAACACTATAGGAATATCATTCCAAGTACACCTTGGTCCTGAAATTTCACAAAAACTTTTTTCCAAGTATACTCCACCCAGATCATGGGTGAAGAGATCCAGGAAGTCTGAATTCTGAGGGTAATGATTGACAACAATCCTAGGGCCAAGTGGGGCTGATCAGACGGAGAAGGAAAATCAACCTTCAAATCCTCTTCCTAGGGCCTAGGGTGTCCAACCCTGTTGGGCCTGGCTGCTGGGCAACCACCTCCGCTGGCCAGAAGGGGTCACTGCAGTCCTTTGTGTATGGACCACGGGACAGGCCTCTCTGGTGGAGATAAAACTGCCAGTGGCCTACAGGCAACTAATTTTTGATCCCTAGTGATAACCACAAAATTGTGAAGTTTTTCCAATTTTGTCTTTAGAGCCTGAAATAAAACAGTAATTTATTCCACACATACATATTGTGGGTAGTTAACAAAATTATCTCCAAACTTTCCAAGAGATGATTCACCCCTGGGTTGCACTCCAGTGACGGGGACAGCGGGGATTGGAACAAGCCCCACTGCATCTAAGCTGTGGGGAAGCCTGGAGCAGCCACCACCTGCTGCTAGGCTCTGCTTCCCCTGGCTTCCCTGCAGAGTTAGGGAACTCTGGTCTGAGGAGAGCTCCTGGGTGGGAGAACCTGAACAGGACAGGCTTGTAGGTCACTAGCAGACACAAAGAAAGCAGCCAAGTGTGGAGAGACAGGGCCAAGGATTGCTTAAGCCCAGCTGTGGCACAATGATGTTTACTCTGGTCCCACAGAATCTGTAGGAATGCGAATGCCATTTACCGAAAGCGTCTCTCCAAACAGAAACCCAGTGCCCCAGCACATTCCTTTGGTTCCTCTAGTCTAATTGTCCCACAAGACAATTGAATAACTAGTTTGAAGGCAAACAGTGTTAACTGATGTGCTACTGTCCCAGAGTGGTGTGGCCACGGCTACCACACCACTCTGCCCTATGCCCAATGACTAAAACCCGCAGATCCACCTGGCCCAGGGGGGTGGGGCGGGGAGCTGTCCTTGTCTAAGACTAGGTGCTCCCAGCGCTGAAGCCTGATGTGCACACAGCAAGGCTGTGGTGGCAAGGCCAGCAGCCTTTCAGATCCCATGAAAGGTGGCAGTTGCTGCCAGCCCTGGGGAGGGAGACATGAGAAGGTGCTTCCAGGGGCAAAGCGCAGGGATGGAATCCAATCTCACCCCCCTAAAGGATGGGCTGCCATGTCCCGGGGTCCAAGAGGCTTCTCTCTAGTAAGGCCGTTTTCTTTGCAAGGTTCAAGCACCTGAAGATGCAGAGATTGGGCAGTGAGGTTTTGAAATGGGCTCCTGGAGACACTGGGGTGGGGGAGGAGGACTGGCTTTCACAAATACACACGATGTGTATATCAAAGATGCCAAACTGTGAGAAGGTGACACAAAAATGTTTTCAGTAGAGCCAATAAAAATAAGGTTCAGTCTTCAACAAATAAATTGCAAAGGAAAAAGGGGGGAGGAACATACAGACAAAAAGACTTAGCTGATGTATTAACCAATCACAAGGTGTAGACATTATCAGTCAAACAAACCAAAAAAATTAAAATGAAATAAAAAAACATTTATAAGGCAACTGGAATTGTGAGCACCTTCTGGGTATTTGATGATACTGAGGAATTCTGGCTAATTTTTTTTTATCAGGTGTGATATTGGTATAGTTTTTTTTTTTTTTTAAAGACTGCATTTTAGGGGGAAAATAGCAGTCTACACATCTTATTTAGAAATATGGACGTGTGAATGTCAGAAGAAACGAGTCAAAAGTGGCTGTGTAGTGGAAAGCAGGGCAGGAAACGGTCACATTTTGTTGGTCTTTTAGGACTATTTTACTCTCTAAATTTGTACATCATTATTTAAATAAAATTAATTAAAAGCAATTAGGGGCTGGCCGGTTAGATCAGGTGGTTAGATCACAGTGTTACAACACCAAGGTTCAGATCCCCATACCAGCCAGCTACAAAAAAAAAAAAAAAAAAAAAATTAAAAGAAATTAAAATGAAGAGAAAAACACTACACAATGAAGTATAAATTTTTTAAAAAACACGGTTTAGTGGAGAACCAAGATAGCAGGACCCAAGGGAACCCACACAGCAAACACATGGTGCAGACACTGAGACCTGAGCCAGCCACATGTCCCCTTATGCTTGTCTCTGACTCCCCATTCTCCCTTGCCCACAAGCCTAAGGCGAAACCATTTAGACTAACAGAGCTGCTGGAACAGCCCGACCGAAAGAGCCTGGGAGACTGATGTCATCTGGGGAACAGTCAGGGTCCTAAGAGATCTGGAACACAGAGGTTCACTCCAGAGACACCCTACCTCTATTGGCAGCCAACCCCTGCCCGGACCCTCCAGGTGTGAGGACAGCCAAGGGGAAGCTCAGGTGAGGCCTATGTACACCAGAGTGGGACCCAGCTGGGGGCTCTCCTTCTGTTACCCAACTGCTAGTGCTTCTGTAACTGCACATCACAGAAACTTCAGACAGAAAGGCAAGGCAGCAGCCCCGAGGTCTGGCTCCACTGACATCTCATCCTCATGAGCTGCAGCCGGCCAGGGCAGCACACCAGAGCTGCTCTACCAACCATGTGCACTTCCTCCTCCTCCCACATCTATCATCTCCTATGCCATCGCCACCACCCCCACGCTCAGCTTCCAGGAGAGAAGGGCAGAATCTGCCTTTCTGCCCCCCTCAGGCATTGGGCCCTTGCCTCAAGGCCTCCTCGGGACCCCTGGGGAGGGAGGCGCAAGAGGACTACAGGTTGCCAACCCCACCACAGGCAGTCCTGGGACTCGGTAGAGCCGGTTCCTGACGGGAGGAGAAGGACTGCCTAATTTAGCAGCAGGCTTCAAAAACCAGCCATCTACAACCCTGGAGATACCGATCTGTACTTAAAGAAGGGATGAAAAAGCCCTCAGGGCTCCTTCGAGAGGTCCCTGGGACCTCTGCTTGAGTCCAAAGCCCCACCCGTGAGCTCTTGGGAAAACTGCCAGGAGGCAGCGCTAGTGACGGCACCTGTCTGTCCTCAGAAGAAGTTCTTTATCAGCGGAGTCACCATCTTCACCCACAGCTTCACCTGCCGGCTGGGCTGCTCAAAGGTGGCAGAGGACACCACACCTGACCTCAGGTAGAGCTGCTCCTGCTCCTGAGGAAGAAGGACAGACAGGAATGCTTAGGAGCACCCTCCAGCACCAAGTAACACAGCCGGCTGGCCCCAG